TGGCTTGGCCGGTGGCAATTACATCTAGTTTTTTCCTGGCTTGGATTGCTTGTGCCAGAGCCCTACCCCTTGCGCATGATGAATAGTTTCCCCAGTATCTATGTTTGCCGTTCCAGTCGCCTCCGAGAATGAGTTTGGAGGTGCCTCCCAGTAGCGTCTCAAAATGGTAGATAAGCTTCTGGAAATAGTCAACGGACCATTTGTGGACTGGCGGGCAGTAGATAGGGGCAACAACAATCGTTTCTGCTCTGCTGCAGCTTGAGGGGATGAGGGCAATGGGTGCGCTTTGGAGGAGCTCTGTTTCGATGGGGTTTAGGCATGTGTGGCGAACATTTTGCTTTATTATGGTGGCCGTGCCGCCTTTCCTGGAGGAGGTGGGATTTTGGGCCAGGTAAGTGTGGAAACCTTTGAAGTTTAGGGCGTTCGAGTTACGTTCTAGCTTGGTTTCGACTACTAGCATAATATGTAGCCCTTCTTTCCTAATAAATGCCTCAAGTTCGTCCTTTTTGCTTGTGACTCCGCAAGCATTCCAGTACCCTATCTTTAGGGTATTGGGAGTTTGTGTATTGGTTGGGCCTGGGGTCATATTAATGTGTTTGTTTATACTTTTGCATTTGGAGGTATAATGCTGGTTTTAGTTTAGGGCCGTTGTTGGGAGTTTCGAAGGTATTGCGGGTAGTGCGGGTAGGTGTGGTCGGTTAGGTTTTGTTTATTTTTATCTTCTATAAAATTAGTTAGGAAGTTCATCAGTAAGTCTATTTTTTTTTCAATGCTTTCTACACGATTTTTTAACTTGGTGTTGGAGTCGCCTGCAGGGCTTGTTTGTAGAATTGATTGCGCGTCCATGGGGGTGGGGGTGTCTTCTGCAATAATTCTCGGCTTCAGGTAGGCTCTAGCAGCTAGGCTGGTTGTTGGTGGGCTTTCTTGCCTGGGAGGTGTCCGTTTGTACGGCGGGTCCTGGGCTTCTTGCATTTTCCTTTCATTTTTGAGACGCTCTTGGAAATTGGCCAAGTGTCTGGCAGCAGGGTTTTTTCCCTTGTTTGACAGCTGTGGGTATGGATTTTCATCTCCTTTACCGGTGATTTTACGCCACCGATTTAGCCTTTTTTGGATGGCCGCGTCGTGTGTGGAGGTTCTGGGCTGGTGGGTTGGCGTGTCCTTGTTGTTAGTGCGGAATGGGTTGCGCCATTCACGCCTTGGGGGTTCATGGCGAGGGTTTGCTGGGGATAGTCTCGTGAAGGCTTTGCTGTGGGGCAGGCGTGGGTAATTTTTTCGAGGTTGTGGGACCTGTCGTTCGTTTGCGTTTTTTACTGTGTCCTTGATAAACCTTTTTTTATTGGTGTCAAAGTTATTGATTGCCAACTTTCTTTTTTCCGCCTTGTAGGCGGGACAGCCTTTGTAAGCGCTGATGTGTTTGCCGGAGCAGTTAATACAGGATGCGGGGATAGATCTGGGTTTGGTGCATTGGTTGGACAAATGGTGCCCAGCGCATTTCATGCACCTTGGCGGCTTAGTACAGATGTTTCTCGAGTGCCTGAAACCCTGGCAGTTGAAGCACTGGAACGGCTCCCTTGTCCTATTTTTTAGCTCCACCTTGATTTGCTGTCCTCCGAGTTGCTTCAGAGTGAGGATTTTTTCGTGGCTGCCAGCGGTGGTCGTGGAGATCTCCACCTCGAATATTTTCATCGGGCCTCCTGTTGCTGGGTTAATCATATTCTTTACGAGAGTTGGTTGGAAGTCGAGCTTTTGAAGCTCGCCAACAATCCATTGGCAGGGGGTGGAGTGGTGGAGGTGCCTTATTACTACTCGATATCCTTTATCAGCCTTTGTCTGGTTTGTGAAAGAGGGGATGCCGCTCGATGTCAGGATATCTTTTATTTTTTTGTAGGCGTCCATGTCTCTGGCCTGAATCCGTATGTCGTTTCCTGTCTTCGCTTTAGTGGTGAAACTGGACACCCCTGCTGTGTAATTTAGTTTTTCCAGCAGCGGCACTATTTCTTTGACGTTCACAACTAGGATGGGGGGTGGCCGTCTGCTGCTGGGCACGACTTGCCATGGGGGTAAGTTGTCGGCAGGGCGCTGGGTGGGTGGGGGGTTATTTCCATGTGGCGCTAGGGGGTTACGGGCTGGGGCAATATTTTGGCATGGGGGTGCGGTGGGTGGGTGTGCAGGCTTGGGTCTGGTTTCCTCGACTACTGCTCGCGCTGTTTTGCTTTTGAAGACAGGTGTAGTGAGGGGAGGGAAGTTGCCAACAGACATGGCGTTAGCGGGTCCACAGGCCCTTTTGCTGGGTGTGTTGAGCGTTGAGTAGTCGAGGTCCCTGTTTGACCTTTTTCCGTTGGTTTTAGACATTGATGTTGTGCCGGTGTGTGGCGTTTCTCCTTGGTTGGTTCCGGCTACAACTTCGGAGTAACTCCTGTGCTGCTCGTCAGTGTTTATGGGGGATTGTTTGGATAGTCCCCTCTTAGTCGCTGGTCTGTTGAGGGTGCAGGCTATTGGCTGATTTCCAGCCGTAGCCATGGAGTTGATTTTGGGCATAAGGTTTAGTTTTAAATTGAAGTCAACCTGGGCGGAGTGAGTAGGTGAGAGCTTCTTTAGGGGCGGGGGGTAGCTTGTTTTCCCGGAAAATTCGGTAGGCTGTCGGGGTTTCTTTTTTAGACTTAGTTTAGTAAAATCCGGTTTGGGAATTGTACTAAGTAAGAAGGCGGTGCGAGTTATAATATTTTGTTGTGTTCCACCTTGGTTTTTGTCCCTGCTATTAACTAATTGTATTTGTGAGGAGATATTCTCCCCTTTGTCAGTAGAGTTTGCTTTGGTATGTCGCGCGTCGGTGTAGTTAAGAGCGGGACCATTGGAGCGGCTGTCTAGGTTTGTGGTGGTAGCCTTGTTTGTGAGTATAAGTGTGGGAGAGAGTGGAGAAATATCATGAGTGCCAATCTTAGTGGAGGTGCTGAGGTTTTTCTCTTTGCTGTTTTCTCTGTGTGGCAGTGTGGGGAAGAACTCCAAAGCGTTGTCGCTTGAGTTGGCTTTGCCTGCGTCCGTATTTGTTGCTGCGGCTGTATTAGTGTGTGGGGAGATTGCTGATAGGTTCTCTCTTCGGTCATCTTCCATGGCAGTGGGAACAGTAGCCCTAGTATGGGCTACTGTGGTGAGAACGTTCCCCAGGCCTGTGTGAGGAGGGGAAAACAAAGAGACGCCGCCTTTGGCGCCAATGGTGTCTGCATTGGTGTTGGTGTGAGAGAGGGGGTTTTCTTGGGCATTCTGAGTGTTCTCACTCTCTTTCCCCTTATGTGAGGGGGACTGGGCAGTTTTTATGGCAGTTTTTATGGCGGTTTTGGGAGGGTTTTTTATGCTTTTTATTTCTGGGCTCGACAGCATTTTCTTTAGCTCTAAAATGCTGACGTTTGAATTGGAGTTTTCTGAGCCTTGTGTCATGGGCGAGATGTCAAGGTAGGATGGGGTCGTAAGCAATTCTGGGCTTGATAGTATTGAGGTAATCTCGTCGTCAGACGAGTCGTCGGAAAATAGTATGTTTGTCATGGTGTCTATTGATTTTTAATATAAAAACGATACAGAGTAGGTATAAATACCCTGGCTTTTAGTTGTGGCAGGTCCTCTAGTGAATCTCTCCGTTTTCTGTCGCCTCCCTGTCTCCTATTTGATTTGGCTGGTAGAAGTTTTCGTCTCTCTCCGGTTTATAGCACCTCTTCTCCTTGTGTTTGTTGCTGCAGCTTTCTTTGATGGTGTGGGTGATGCCGAATTTTCGCGGTTTAGTTCTTTTGCCTTTGAGAGTCTTTTATTATTTATGTTTAATTGTTTGATTTTTATTTTTTCCACTTTAAATACGTTTGCTTTGTGAATTTATTGATTTATTTATTTGTAGTTTATTTATTTATGTTTGATTATTTATGTTTAATTATCTTTGTATTAGTTTTCTTCTCTCTCCGGTTTTATAGCACCACTACACCTAGTTTTGCTGCAGCTTTCTTTGTTTGTATAGATGATGCCGGGGTTTCGCGGTTTATTTCTTATGCGTTTGAGTGTCTGTTTTAATTGTTTAAATGTTTCTTCGCTTTGTATTCGTTAACTTTGTGATTTGTTTTGCACTTTTATTTTTATTTATTTAATTTGTTTAATTTATTTGTTTATTTAATTTTTTATTAATTTATTTGTTAATAAATAAATTAATTAATTTATTTATTTATTTATTTGTTTGTCCAAATGTTTATAGACAACTTTGATTTCAGCTTTTAATAACTTTCACTTTTTTTACTTTACTTTGCATGGTTTTTTTACTTTGCATGGTGGAGGGACGGAGCAGAATCAGAAATATTCTGAACCGTTTCCACAATTTATTTGCCTTTGATTACATAGATATGCAATATATAGGTACAAGAATTTACATTTTTGAGTTTAACATTGTGGAGGTGAGTTTTGGAAATGGACAATAATGTTAGTAAAAGGTAAGTATACTAGGTTAGTATTTTCTTTGTACATGGCATGAGTTGGTAACATTAACATATGTATGTTTGTTTGTTTACATATTGAGTTTTGCAAAGCATTTACGAAAATTTAACAATTGTGTTTTTGAATTTAATTTCAGGTACCCCCGCCTGAAGGACGGGAGCGCCGTGTCGCTGGTGGATTCCAGGGTCATCGCCGGAAGAAAACAGCTGCTTCCCACGTATCCGTCAGTCCTTGGGTGAGTCCGGGGTTCCGCGTCCAGTTCCACTTCGCCTGAAGTGGCTTCTTGGAGCCTCGGGCCCTGGTTCCGAGGTCGTGGGTCGTCTCAGCAGCGCTGGATGGCCTGGTTCCTTGCCATGGGTTGCCGCCTCCGGCAATCTGAGGGTCGTCGGTGTTTCTGGCGGTTCCTGTGGGTGGGGAAACGTCTCCCCACAGTGAGTCATCTGGGTGCCTCTGGGCCGCTGCATTGAGTGGGCGCCGCTGCTGGAGCAGTTGCTTGGAGCCACCAGGCCAGGAATAAATTGTCGTGGCCGTCTCGTCGACAGGATATGAAATACATTCATACAAAATTGGGTGAGTATATAAATATATATAATATTATATGCAGGTGTTTTGCTTGTTTTAATTTTTCGTTCTTTTTTAGCAAGCTGTGTCAGTGCGTAGGAATGTAGTCGTCGCATCGTCCAAAGTCGTGGAAAGGATGATATTAAGATTAAGTAAGTGACTAATGTGTATTTAATTTGTTTGTTGACTGATTTGATTTGTTTTTCCTTATCTTTCAGTCCTCGTCATGGCAGAGAGTGCGTTCAGGGTGAGCTCTTTGCAGGAAACTGTCGCCAGGATGCTGCGACGAGTCGAGCAGAGCCCGGTGAGCAGGTCGTGCGGTAGGAGCTCAATTTCAATGTGCATATTTTAAATTAATGTTTCTGTTAATTTCAGCTTTGCGACCTGGGTGTGCCCCTTGCAGGAAGCTGTCGCCAGGATGCCACGACGGATCGAGCAGAGCCCAGCAAGCAGATCTTGCGGTAGGTGCTATAATTTCAATGTGCAAATTTTGAATTAATGTTGTCTGTTAATTTCAGAATTGTGTCCTGGGTGCACCCCCTGCAGGAAGCTGTCGCCAGGATGCCACGACGAATCGAGCAGAGCCCAGCAAGCAGATCGTGCAGTGGGTGCTCCAATTTTAGTGTAAGTATTTTGATTTAATATTTTTCTTTATTTTCAGGTCAACAGGAGCTAGAGATGAAATTGGACTTGGGTAAGTGGCTGTTATTTTTCAATTAATTTGCTACTAATTTGAATATCTTTTTCTAGGTTTTTTGGTGAGTATTTAATTTAATTTTTTTCCTTTATTTTCAGGTCGACAGGAGCTAGAGGTGATATTAGACTTGGGTAAGTGGCTGTTGTTTTCCAGTTTATTTGCTTCTAATTTGAATATATTTTTTCTAGATTTTCAATGTCCGTCCTGTGGCAAGAAACTCGGCCTAAGTGGGTCCTTTGCAGCATGTTGACGCCAGGATGCAGCGGTATGATCGAGCAGGGCCCGTCGAGCATATCTGCAGTAGGAGCTCCACTTTCAGTGTGAGTAGTAAATATCTGCATTTGCTTGGCAGTAGTCAGAGTTATTTTGCCGCATCAAGACTCAGCTGCAGGGTTGGTTTAGAACCCTCCGGAGTGTCTTGCGGCAATTTATAGGTTTTTTTGGTTTGAATTTTAATTTATATTTTCTTTTCTTTTCAGGTCCTCAGGAGCGAGGGAGTCGCCAGGATGTAAGTTAAGAGACTTTCGGCAGAGGTTTCAGGTAAGGATTTTGAAGTTTCAGGTGCTCTGAATATTATTTATTTTTTTGTTTTCTTTGGTTTTAGGTCTTTTGGATCGAGGAATGGCTGAGGAGTTGGAGGTTGGCTGCTTGTTTCACAGCTTCTTTGGCAATGGAGAGGAAAGGGTAAGAGTGTTATTTTGTGTGATCATTGTATCTTTGCTAATTTATTTTGTTTGTTTATTTTAGGTTTATAGGCTGCTGCAGTCTAGTTGCCCAATCTTGGAGAAGCAGGGCCGGGCTAGGGTCTTGTCTTTTCAATCTCGGTGTCGAGTGGGAGTGGAGCAGCAGTCACTATCGTCTGGATAATTTATATTATAAGTTTTATTTTATAAGTTTTGTATGTTTTAATGTGTAATATACCCTTCCTTTGTATATGAATTTTCTTGATTAAAGATCTGTATTAAATAATTATTAATTGTTATTATTTAATTATTATTGTTTTTTTTTTGGACCTCCAAGAGCTTGGTTAGAATGTCCGTTAGGATGTTTATTTTCGTTTCTAGGTTTTCTACTCGATTTGTTAAAGCAGAGCTTGCTTGCATAAGTGATTGCGCGTCCATGGGGGTGGGGGTGGGTGGGTTTGTATCTTCTGCTATAATTCTGGGCTTTATTTGGGCTCTAGCAGCTCGGCTGGTAGTAGGTGGGCTTTCTAGGTCGGGGGAAGTCCTTTTGATCGGCAGATCCTGTGCCTCGTTAGTTTTCCTGTTTATTTGGAGATTCTTTTGGAAATTGGCCAAGTGTCTGGCGGCCACGTTTTTGTTTGGCTGTTGCGGCTTTGTGTTGGCTTTTTTCCCTCCTTTGCCAGTGTTTTTCCGCCACCGATTTAGCCTTTTTTGTATGGCCGCGTCGTGAGCGGAGATCCTGGGTAGGTAAGGCCTCGCGTCCTTGTTGCTGGTGCGGAATGGGTTGCGCCATTCTTGCCTTGAGGCATCCTGGCGTGTAGTTTCTGGCGATTGATTTCTGAATGCTGTGCTGTAGGGCAGTCGTGGGAAGTTTTTTCGAGGTATCGGGACCTGTCGTTCATTTGTGTTAGCATTTATTGCTGCGTCCTTGATTGCTCTTATTTTGTTGAAATCAATGTTGTTGACTGCCAGCTTTCTTTTTTCCGCCTTGTAGGTGGGGCAGCCTTTGTAGGCGCTAATATGTTCGCCTGAACAGTTTGCGCATGATGCGGGGGTGGATCTGGGCTTGGTGCATTGGTTGGACAAATGGTGCCCGGCGCATTTCATGCATCTTGGCGGCTTCATGCAGGAGTTTCTGGCGTGCCTGAATCCCTGGCAATTGAAGCACTGAACCGGCTCCCTTGTCCTGTTTTTGCGCTCCACCTCGATCTTCTGCCCGCCAAGTTGTCTTAGCGTGAGGATCTTTTTGTGGCTGCCGTCGATGGTGGAAGAGATCTCCGCCTCGAAGATTTTCATTGGGCCTCCTGTAGCTGGGTTTAGCATGTTTTTGGCGAAGATGGTCTGGAAGCCGAGCTTTTGGAGCTCGCCGACTATCCATTGGCAGGGGGTGGAGTGGTGGAGGTGCCTGATGACCACTCGAAAGCCTCTCTCAGACTTAGCCTGATTTGTGTGGGAAGGGATGCCGCTTGAAGTTAGGATATCTTTGATTTTGTTGTGGGCTTCCATGTCCTTGGCTTGGATTCGAATGCCGTTTCCTGTCGTCGATTTGGTTGTGAAGCTGGACACTCCTGCTGTGTAGTTTAGCTTCTCCAGCAACGGCAATATTTCGTTGACATTGTCAACTAAGAGGGGGGGTGGGCGTCTGCTGCGGGGCACTACTTGCCAAGGGGGCAGGCTGTCGGTAGGGCGCTGGGTGGGTGGGGGGATGCTCCCAAAAGGCGCTCGGGTGTTGCAGGAGGGGGCGACATTTTGGCATGTGGGTGCGGTGGGTGGGTGTCCGGTTTTTGGTCTAGTTTCCTCGACTACTGATTGCGCTGCTTTGCTTTTAAAAACGGGGGTGGTGAGGGGGGGGGATCTGCTAGCAGACATGGTAGTAGCAGGTCCACAGGCCCTTTTGTTTGGCGTTTTAAAAGTAGAGTTGTCGAGGTCCCTATTTTTCCTTTTCCCGGGGGTTTTCTTCGGAGGTGTTTTGCCGTGTGGCATATCACCTCGTTTGGCTCCAGCTACGATTTCAGAGAAACTCCTGGGCTGCTCGTCGGTGCTCATGGGTGATTGATTAAACAGTCCCCTCTTGTTCGCTGGTCGGTTGAGGGTGCGGGCTGTTTGCTGGTTTCCAGCCTTAGTCATGGAGTTGATTTTGGAATTTAGGTTTGAGTTATAATTAACCTGGGCGGAGGGGGTAGGGGAAAGCTTCTTTTGGGGGGGGGAAACGTTTGCCTTCCCTGATATTCTGGCAGGCTGTGTGGGTTTATTTTTTAGCGTTAGTTTAGAAATGTCTGGTTTGGGTTTTGAGTTCAGCGAAAAATAATTGCGAGCTGTAATTGTGTGATGGATATCCCCTTGATTATTATCGCTGCTTTTATCTGGATTTGTATATGGGGAGATTTTCTCCCCAATGTCAGTTGGATTTGCTTTATTATAGCATGTGTCTGTGTGTTTAAGAGAGGGAAAAATAGAGCGGCTGCCTGGGTTTGAGTTGGTAGCCTTGTTTGTGTGTATGTGTGGGTGAGAGAGGGGAGAAGTGTCGTGGGCACCGATCTTGGTGGAGGTGCTGAGGTTTTTCTCCATGCTGTTTTCTCTTTGTGGCAGTGTGGGGAAAATCTCCAAAGCGTTGTCATTGGAGTTGCCTTTGTCGTCTGCGTCCGTATTCGTTGCTGCGGCTGTGTTAGTGTGTGGGGCAATTTCTGTTTGATTCTCTCTTCGGGCATCTTCTACGGCAGTGGGAACAGTAGCCTTAGTATGGGTTACTGTGGAGAGATCGTTCCCCATGCCTGTGTGAAGAGGGGAAAGCAAAGAGACGCCACCTTTGGCGCCAATGGTGTCTGCATTGGTATTGGTGTGCGAGAGGGGGTTTGCTTGGGCATTCTGGGTGTTCTCACTCTCTTTCCCCTTATGTGTAGGGGAATTGGCAGATTTTATGGCAGTTTTGGGAGGGTATATTACGTTTTTAATTATATTTTTCCCTGACCGCGCGATCAATCTGTCTAGTAGAGAATTGCTGACGCTTACTACAGAGTCGTCTGACATGGACGAGATAATTGAGATGATCTCGTCGTCAGATAAATGGTCAGGAAGTGTGAAATTTGACATGGTTTTATCTTTTTTTTTTTTTTTTTTTAAATTTTAAAATTTTAAAAATCGATACATGTAGGTATAAATACCCTGGCTTTTAATTTGTTGCGGATTCTCAAGTTGTGTCGTCTCCGTTTTAATTCGCCTCCCTGTTCTCTCCTTGATTTGGCTGCTGGCAATTTTCCTCTCTCTCCAGTTTATAGCACCTCTTCTCCTTTTGGTTGTTGCTGCAGCTTTCTTTGGTGGTGTGGGTGATGCCGAGTTTTCGCGGTTTTAGTTCTTTTGCGTGTGAGTGTCTTTTATTTATGTTTAATTGTTACTTCACTTTAAATACGTTTGCTTTTGTGAATAGCCTTGGCTGTTCTCGACTTTTTTATAGCACCTCTTTTCCTTTAAGTTATGCTGCAGCTTTCTTTTGTTTGTGAGGGTGTTGCCGAGGTTTCGCGGTTTTATTTCTTTTGCGTTTGAGAGTCTTTTAATTGTTTAAATTATTCCTCGGGTTGTATATGTTAACTTTGTGATATGCTTTAGACTGAATTTCACTTTTATTTTAATTTATTTAATTTATTTAATTTATTTGTTTATTTAATTATTTATTAATTTATTTTTTACTTTGCATGGTGGAGGGACGGAGCAGAATCTTTTTACTTTGCATGGTGGAGGGACGGAGCAGTTTACTTTGCATGGTGGAGGGACGGAGCAGAATCAGAAATATTCTGAACCGTTTCCACAATTTATTTGCCTTTGATTACATAGGTATGCAATATATAGGTACAAGAATTTACATTTTTGAGTTTAACATTGTGGAGGTGA